TAACGATGGATGAATCGCTTTTCGAGCAAAAGTGCCAGTAATCCGCTCTTAATTTCCTCCCTTTAATTGACAATGAAAACTCACATTTGTGTATGCAAATACAAAACTAATAGATGTTTTAAATATTTCATAATTTATTTTGTTATTTAAGGGCGCATAGTTGCAGCCCTGAGGGTCGTTTTCTTATTTTCTTATCTCGGAGACTGGCAATTTGATTATTGGCCCTAATTGAATCCAAATCTCCCATATGCCGGCCAACAAGGCAGCTGCGAAGTGTATAGGGGTGCCGAGGGTGGCATTAGGTCGCGTTATTGCCACACCATTGCCCGCGCCGAAGTCACATAATGGCACACACAAAGCCCGGCGTCTCGCCGCCGCCGCCGCCGATTATTATTATTCATCACCTCGGGAGAGAGTAACAAGTTCATGACTCGCCCTGGGCGCAATCCAAACACTGCGCGTGATTCGATCAATATGCTTCAATGCGTCTCTTTCGATACGCCACTTCAAAATAATCAAATTATTTTCCTATTCTGTCTCTGTTCAAAACAAAATGATTTCAAGCATGTCTATTTACACTTCGCAAGAAGCACAATTTATAAAATCAAGAGAGTTTTCAATAATTTCTAGTTCAATTAAATTTTCTTACATATAGAAGATAAAGTGCGGCCACTAATTGTAATAAGAGGTACAAAAATAAATCTAGCACTTTCTTCAAACTATAACATATATTTGATTGCGTTAGGTTAAACTTAAATGAATTGAGCTCATGTCAAATGTAACAAATTATTTGTAATTTTTTTAAGGACCAAAGATTCCCTAGGCAACACAAACATAAAATGATTCATATAAGGTGCATTATTTATATTTCTCAATATTGGGTACGAGTTTATAAATATCATTTCTCACTACATTGCATGATATGTAAAATGATTATTTCAATATGTAAAATTTTCATAAAATATTCAGCTAAAAATTTTGATTTGAATCTTCTTCGTGATAGGTTTTTTTAATTTTTAAATCATAGATTATTCTATTAATAATAATAACATTTTAAAATAATAATGACTAAATGGTTTAAAAAAAATTTAATAATTGCTAATAATAAATTTTAATGCTAAATAATATCATTACATATAATTGTGGTTAATTACTTTGTAAACTATTTTATTTTCCAATCGAGAATTTACGTACGCAAATCGGAGGCGTTTTATGGCCACGGATCGCGAGATTTCCCCAGAGTTCTCTTGGAGCAGAACGATTAGACACGCGACCGCCCGTCTCCCAGAAGACTAATTTCCGAAGTGTGTCGTTCAGATTAATCATGCATGCCCATCGAAAAGCATGGGAAAAAGTTGGAGCAGCTGATGCGAAAGTGAAATTTTCACTCGGATCTGCAGTTTTGTTTGCGAGGGTGCAGCAGGTTTTTCTGCGCTCGCGGGTTTGGGAATTCGACGCACGTAGAAGAAATAAGCAGTCGCTTTGCCGCCCCCGGCGTCGTCGTCGCGGCCCCGAGCACACCCCCGTGTAACAATGTTAATCTGTGTACAAGTCTGCTGAGAGATTGCAAAGCCCCTAAATGAATTCGCGGAGCTTGCCGCCGGATTAGCGCACTCGCTGCCACACGGCGCGGTGTGAACCCTTGCGTGAGAATCGCCGCATATTGTTCTTCGTCTTCTTCGACACACACACATAGACTCCAAAGCTCTTTTTGCTCCGACGGCAAAACCCTCAAAACACTGCTGCATTAAATGCAGAGAAATGCATTCTACTCCTAATGGGGCAACAAGTAGACTATTTATTTCTTGGATTAAAAAACAAAAACTGAAAATTGGCAATTTGTGAATTAAGTTTCCTGCTAATTTTTTGATTGTCAGAAAATCTGAATAGATTGTAAATTATGCATATTTATACAAACAAAAATTATTATGATAAATGAAAAAAAAAAATTCTTGCTTTCTTTTAATTTTGATTAAAAACACTACGTTAAAAGTATAAACGATATAATAAATACTAACTTTTATTTATTATTCTTTAAAATAAATTCATTCAATTTTTAAAAGCAATTTTCTGATTGATTTCTATTCGCTTTGTATTATCATTTAACGTACTTTTGAATTAATTTCTTTCCAGGACCTTGTGAAGAGAAGACATTTACAGGGGAAATAGATAATAACATTATTAAATAGAACAAATATGAAAAGTTTAATTATTTACAGTATTATTTCTTGAAATATTCGCGAGAGAAGTATTTTAAAACCTGATAATTAATCAATTATGAAATGAAAACCTAATAACTTTTGAACTGAACCTGTGGTTGCTGACGATTTGAAAAATCGAAAGGGGCGTTTGGAGGGCGGCGGATGTATGCACGAATTATCGATTCAATCTTTCTTCTCGTACATACTGCAAAACGTATGCCATGCGGAAGAGTCGCTCTCTCAAATCTCGGGCCACTGCGCTAATGTTTCATATGTATGACTGTGTGTGCCGTGCCGCGGGTATAATGAAAGTAAAACAATGACGAGATGGAGAGAGCACACGAGAGGCTTGCAAACAAAATACCAAGAGTTAATAAAACCGCACCGCATTCTCAATTGATTCACAAATACACACGCGCCTCCGTCGGTCGTCCGCCCGCTCGCCTGCGCCAGAGAGAAATGACAATGGAAATTTATGCGCTCGGGATTTGCACTCGCAGCCCCTAGCGAATCAAAATCTACTCGACTCGCTCAGTCCACATTTCAATCTGCACGCGAGGGTCTATAAAATAACAGAGTTTTTTTTTATTATTTCAGGAATAATTTTACTCTTTAATCTGTCTTTCAAATGAGTTGAAATTAAAATTTTTACAATTAAACTTGTACTTAAAACATTTGAATTAAATTTATTGAAAACCTATAATTTATGATGAAAAGTCGAAACTCTTTATACGTCAAAAAATGTAAAAAGGAAAAAATTCAAATGGAAAATTACTTTTTTGATAGCTTGTTAATTAAGACATTTATGTCTGTTCATCGTTGGATGAATCATACTAATTAATATCTAAATTTTATTTGTTTTGGTTCAATTTATTTTTAATTTTTACTCAAATTAATAAACTTGGTAAAAATCTCTTGGATCCTTTTTGGAAACTTTTCAGTTTTTGCATGGGAAAAAAGCGCCGAGGTGCCAAACTGAGAAAGGGACTGCAGCCGCGAGGGGAGTACTTTCTTTTTTCTAAGAGGGGCAGAGTCTGGGATAAGTCGATGATAAATGCAGATGTTATACAAGAGGGTGCACAAGCACGTGCCTTTTTAAGTGCAGCTATAGTCTCTATCCTCTGCAAACGGCGGCCCTTTAGGCGTTGAAACAAACTTGAAAAAAAGTTGCTCCGAGGTGCGAGCTTTGTAGCGAGAGGGCTGCTCTGGCTTCATTTCGGTCTAATCTGTATTCTGAAAAAGAGGTGGCCGCGCCAAAAATAATATCTCTGGCGAGGAAAGGCTCCTTTGTGCGGAAGAAAGTGCGAATGCCTTCGAGAGAAGAGGAAGAAAGACTGAGGGCGGCTTTTCATCCGAGTCTGAAAGCAGCAGGGTGTATCAAACGGAGAAAAAGGGTGCACGCGCGTGGTCCTTGCGAGAGAGTGCCGCAGAGAGAGGAAAGCAAAGAGGTTTTTTTTTCGTTTAGAAAAAGGCACATACATGCAGGTGACTTAAGGTTCTCTGTGAGAGTAGGCTTGATTCAAAATTTGAAGTGCATTGTACGATCAAAGAGGCCAAAAGTGCAAACAAGTTTTGAACAAAATTCGTATGCTCGATTAGAGAGAAGTTTGGTATTGGGAAAATTCATATATTTTAACAGATATTCAATATTTTTCATTTTTAATTAAGAGATTAATATAAATTGTTAGAATTTATAAGATGAAAGACATACTGGTGCCTCAATGAAAATATTATTGTCCTAAAAATAGCTTGCAGATGCAATTTTACATAAATGAATATATAAAAAATTATTTTTATTCCTTCTCTCTCTTAGACTTTTTTTATTTTGTCAGTTGTTCTTTTTAGTCAGCCTTTTTCCACGAAGAAACTGACTAATACTGATACCGTACTTAAAGGTATAAGTATTTGATCTCTTATCTGGCAACTTCGCAAGCCCATCTAAAAAAAGTGACACCTATTATATTTTTATTGGTTCGATACTATGTGGTATAATTTTAATTTTTTTTATCATTTGTTAGACTTTTTGCAATTTATATGCGTAATAGTATGCAATATATAATTATTATTCTGATATTCTAGGAACTAGAATATTTTCAAATAATTTGTTATTTTATTTTTTTATTATAAAGGATATAAAGGAATCTCCTTTTAACTATGGTTTGAGAGAATAAACACTAAAACTTTTTCTTGAAATAAGGTTCTGCCTTCACTTGAAAAAAAAATTCATAATATTTTACATTGAAAAAAATATTGCAGAGATAGAGATAACAAGGGCAGTTTAAATTTAAAATCGAGTGAAGAGAGAATCATTATAATAAGTTAAAATAGCTAGAAATATTAAATTTGAACCGAACTGCTATTTTCATGTAAAATAAATTTTCTCTTATTTTTTCAACATTCAATTCCATTTAAAAAATACTTAGAGTCAGCAGCCTGGGAGCGGCTACATTCTCATTATTAAGTATAAAGAATTCAATTAAAACCACCAACAATAAAGGCGTTTTTCTCTTCTAGCTACGTTTAAATAAGCGCAATGTATCATGCTAAATATTAGTTTTAAAAGAGATAATTATAATGTTGCTTGGGTGATTAACCCGTCGCAAAGCCCTTAAATCTAAAAAAATTTGAGATTGAAAAAATGAAAGTGAATATTATTACCAAACGCCAAATCTCTTGGGAAGTTTAAATAATATAATTAAAAGAGAATTAGGATCATTGTTCGTTGTATTTAAACATTGTATGACGAAATGTAATGTATTTGAGCACTGCTTTTCATTGAATAAAAGTCACATGTTTTTATTTTATAGAAGACGTAAGCATTTTATTACAAAGAAAAAAAACACATCAAAAATAACAATTTTCACTATCAATTTTGCATAATGCAGAGAAACTGGAATTAAAAGACAAGAAGTTTCACAATTTAACAATACGTCCAAATATCCCGGGCCCTGGACTTCTCAAAACCTTATTCGGTTTAGAAACCACTGCGTGCTTAACACTTAAGATTTTGTAACACAGCAATTTTTAACACAATTTAATTTTAGCACCGTGTGTTTGGTCTTAGAATTCAGACTCAAAATTGAATTTCGATTTTGATGTAACAATTGCTTAATGGTGGTGGTTGGGTAGTACTAAGTCTTATTGTTAGTAGTAGTGGTTCCAGTTTTGACCTGAGCAACACGGGAGTCCTGATTGTTGTCAAGGATCTCATCTCCGGTCCTGACGTTGTGCACCTCATTTGGTGCCAACAGAAATTGGCATTTGGAATTATATTTTTGGTGCTCACTTTCAGGAGTGTCTCCCTCCTCCCAGTCACTTACCAGCAGGCCGCAGAACGCACAGCGACACTGATCTTTCTCCCCAAGATAGTAGAAACCAGCAATGGCTAGTTGTTCCGGACTGACAAATTTCCAGTCCCAATCACTATCAAAGAAGGTCAGATAGCGTTGCGCCTCAAAATTCAATTTCGAATCAAGAGGAAAGCCGAAATTATCTTGATTGTCAACAACACATCCAGAGTGCAGCGGTTCACCAGCAGCTAACTCAAGGGCAACCTGAAAAATTTGAAATTTAAAATTTTCAAGCAATTATTATATAAGTCATAAAATAATTTAACTCATTTTAAAATTGTTTTCATAACTTCTCTTTTAAAACATTTTAAATATGATCATGATCACATGCAAGTTACTGTGGTAGTTTTTGAACAAAATTTAATTAATTTCACGATAATTATTGCAAAATAACAAATAACCAAAATAAATTAATCTATTTTTAAAAGAAAAATTCCTATAAATTGATTCAGTAACGAACCGATTAATTTAATTTATTTTTAAATTATTGTTTTTATATATTACCTTATAGCTGCAAAAACCGCAATACAAAGTTTGACCGTCGGCTCCGAGGTAAAGACCCGACGCGGCCAAGTCCCTGGGCTTCAAGCCCCACTTTTTTTCAAATCCGTTAATAGGAAATGTTATTTGTCGGTTGGTTGCGACGTTTAGTTTCAGTTGTTGTGCACCTAGTCCGGCAGGAACCATCGGGGTTGGAGGATCAGTTTGCATTTTGGGATGGAAAAAATCTGAAAATTTTCACAAATTAAAACATTGTGACCATAAAATAAATTATGAGTAAGAAAAAACCGTGTAAAGTGTGTTTGTGTTTGAAATTAATCACTTTTGATTGAGCTCATCGATTTACGCCTATGGGTAAATATTAACAACACAGAATTTTTGAAAAATGCAGCCAAAAATCATGTATACCTGACAATATTGAGAAAGACGGTTTATAACTTCCAACGCTGTATTGACTGAAGTATGCTGAACAGCAATGAACTGATAGGTATACCTCCTAGCGATGTCCTTATATATCAATATCTCTCAGCTCCCTGAAGAAATGCGGCTCCCAAATAAGGTAGATAAGCATGGCGAAATTTTTTTTCTTTAGCTGATAAGCCCCATTGGAGTAATGAATAATTAAATTCGCATAATCTATTGCTCATTGCCGCCGACTTTCCTTATTTGCTAATACTTGAAGTTATTTCATTACATGATGTCATTTTTTGCAAAGCTTGACTTTTATTATTTAAAGACATTATGTTGAATAATAGAGGTTGTATGGCTGTGGATTTTACTAGAATACTATTTTTTGCAGCTAAACATCTTTTAGGCGGTGTACTTTGCATTATATTCAATGAGGAGGCCACCTTGCTTGAGTAGTTAAAGGAAAATGGTACTACAAGCTAGGCTCATAGGCTATGTCAGAGCTTACTATGACAAGCTTCAAGTAAAATAGCGATAAAGCTTACGACATGAACAGGTCTTTAATGATGGCAAAAATACATAATAAAACCAACAATATAAATGATGCAATTTTTCAAGACTATTTTGTTTGTTCTTTCTATGTATTTTTTTTTTTTATGTAATTGTCTCTCTTGTAATTAATTTATATAATATTGGATTTATGGATGATATATTTGGGCAGAAAATGCCCAGTGATTAATAAACATTTTTGAAACTAAAGATATTTATAAGAAGCAAGAGATATTATGAAAAGTGCATAGTAACGAGAGGCTATTGAGAAGCTGCATCTATTTAATTTTTAATACAAAGTGTACTTTTCCATTCACTACACATCAGCTTAAATTAATAAAAATTAAATTAACAATACCTATAGCTAAGTTGTTGCGTTTCTAAATATAATTTATATATTTGTTAAAACTATTAAAATAAATTATGTTTTTTAATAATTTTATATTTTATAATTTAGTAATATTTTATAAATTTATTTAATTAGCTTAATTTATTGTATTTTGAAGTCACTTAAGTATCCCTTACCTTGAACATACTACTCGTAATTATTGAGTAAAATTTATTGTTTACAAATAATGATGTTTTATTTTTACTTGGATAATTTTATAATTGTAAGCATAACTGAGCATAACCTTAAACATAAATTGAGTGTTTGCTTGTGAATGTGATGGTGTAGAACTAAATTTAAGTTATAAATTTAAATTAAATTATTATTTTTTAAGAGGTTTTTACGTGGATTTACTGAAATGAATTCTTTACATTTTTATAAATAAAATATAATTTTAAATGCCATTATTTAATTACTTTGCACGTTGCACGGCACATAAAGTAAGAGTGATACTTTGAAATGAATGTGTAATTGTCTTAATAAACAAGAGGGCCTCCATTAAAAAGCCATTGTGCATATCGGACGGCGAGAGAGCGGCTCAGGGTTAATATACAAAATTACCATTAAGGCTGCGACGAAAAATATTACCCGGTCGGCGGCGACACAAACGCGACTGCAACATTTTGTGCGATTTACGCCACTTGTTTTTGTGCTAATCGAATTTTGTTGGCAGCGGAAAGGGCAGCAACAATCTCGGTCGGCTCCTAAAAAATGAGTTTTGTTTTTTGCGTTGTCGCCGCCGGGCGTGTAATTTATCGTGGTGCGCGCAGAGCTTCCTCCTTCACTAATTAAGCAGCCTTGTCTCCGCCGCGAGTAATGGGCACCGTGTTTATATTAAGGCTGCTGCAGCATATTTCATCGTTTCTGGCGCGAAAGTATAACAAAAACAACACTGCTAATCATGCTTAACAGCGACGCTGCAGCGTTTTAATGCGGACGACGTCAGAGATGCTGCGTGCGATGCGGATGTTCCGTCTTGGCTGAAATTCAGCTTGCCAACACCAAAGCCTAATTGCCAGTATTGCCACAAGTTGAACAAAAACCATTTTAAATTCTGTTTTAAAGTTTGAAAAGCAAAAAAATTAAATTGATAATTAAAAAAAGATACGTGGTTTCATACACAAAAAGCTATATTAATATTATTCTCAAATTTTAAAAATATATTCTGTGATTTAAATCTGGTTCCAAAATATCAGATCGATGATTCCATGAAGAATTACTGTAAATCTTTTTAAAATTTGTCTTAACTTTTCATATTTTACAATTTTATTCTTCATATCTTCTATGCTTTCTCTTGTAAAACATATAGAAAATATTTTTAATTGAAAATGAAATTATCAGATTTTTAAATTGCTTGAAAAGGAAAATAAGCTGGGATGTTAAAACATAATATTCAGAATAAATTAAGTTTGCTATAAATAACAAAAATGGTTTCAGATTTTAAAAATAGTAATAATTTATGTTTCAATTATTTTGATTTAAAATAAACAAAATTAAATTTAACAGAGAAACTTTTATTAATTTGACTGCAACCTCCTCATTAGGAAAATTCTCGTAAAGCTCTTCTCCCTCTATTTTTTTTTAAAGTATTTTTCAATTCAAATTTCTTCCACTTTTGTTATTCGGAAATTTTACATCGGAAGATTTGCAATGACATAATAAATAATATGGTGCCATCAGAGCGGCACTCCCTTTGATGGATCCGATTTACTTTTTGCCTCTTTGCTTTTTCGAATTTTTGCAAAATCGCATTATCGCGTGGCGCGCGCGAGAGCTTTTTGTCATCGAAAGAGGAGTCTAGCCTTTTTACGTGGCGTGCACCTGCGCCTCTCGCTGGCAACTAATGGAAATATCGCGCCTCCATACTCAGTGCATTTTATGCGAAAACAAGGGCAAAAAAGCTTCCAGCGCGCCTCTCTGCAATGTATAATGATATTCCGCCCGGCGCGCTCGCGACGTAAAAATGTAAATGCTATTATTGTAATAGTAGAAGATCATAGGGCACCGTGTGTGCGCGCGCTTAATGTGTATCTCGGTGCATTAAGTACACGTATAGGTATCGCGCGACTCCAGGGAAGTGTGTGAATATCAATGGAAAATTTAAATGTTTCATTGTTTTTATACTACCAAAAATCATCATCAAAGATAAAAATAGAAATATCAGAGTACCAGACATTGTCACAGTCCATTGGGAATTATCTTTTGTGTTATAATTTTACATCATTTGTGAATGCACGTTACTCTGCCCACTGAATTTCCCCAAAATTCTAAGCCCGAAATAACGACATTACAGTTTTAGTAAGTTTTAGTAATCAGTCACTCAAAATGAATCAAGAACTCTTTATTTAATTGGTAGCGTGAGAAATTAATTGAATTGAATTGACTGAAAAATACTAATCATTAAAAAGGAGTGTGGATAAGCCAGCCAATAAGGAATAAAATGCAGGATCAAGTGTTTAATTAACATTAGTTATTGAAATAAATACTACAAAATATACATAAATAAAATACAATAAAATATGCAGAAATTAAAATACATCTGGCCCTACCTGTCAAATTAACTAAATCATTTGAACCCATTTTTCTTAATCAGCAGTGAAATAACAAAATTATCAGTGGCAATACACAATATAACAATAAACACTTACATTTCCTAAAGACGAACTATGTCTGACAAAATTCAGACACCGCGGCAGGCATCTGCCGGACAAAGTGACAGCCCCAGAACGAAAGTGAAAAAGCCCCAAGCTTGGCTTACATTATCAATTTATAGAAAAATCAGCGTTGCCCTCTCCTACCCATCACGCGCTTATTATTCTCATTAACGCGACAGTCAAACAATACGTATTTACATGAAAGTTCTCGAAATACAATGCGCCGCAAGGAATACAATATTATTCACACTGTTTGTCGCCTGAGTAATGGCACACAAAAATAATTCCTTGAACTGGAGTTGTTTTGGTAATGGTTATCTGCGTCACTCCTAATTTGTTTATAATCCTAAATAATTTCAATTATGAAATCTTATCCTTATTCACACCCCTCCATCAAGAGAAAAGATAATTTTTACAAAATTTGTCGCATTCTCGACAACTGAAATTTAAAAAAATGGGGAAAATCGAATAAGGAAAAGATTTAAGCTCTCATATGTGATAAAATTGTACACAATCAAATAACGGCCGCCATCAACAATATATTGACAAGCGATGTGCTGCCAACTGCAAAATTCAGGAAGGCCAATATCTGGCCAATATCATCTATACCGCATCGAACACCCATTTTTCCTCATGGTTTTGTCGCTCAGCATCCGCTTACAGCAGGAGTTGTCCAGAAGACGGGGAGAGGAGTCTCTTAGGAGGAACAGCCTGCTTTCAACTGCAGTTTCCATGGACGCACGGAGCCGGTGTGCAGTGCACCTAAGCTGGGCGAAACACTGTGTGGTATGTCGGGCCACGGACCTCCTCGAGAGTGATCAGACAACAGGTCGAGGATTGGCCGAGGAGCAGGAACACCAACGGTGAGCCGAACAGAACCTCATCAAAATGAAGACAGTCAGACGCTGACTCTGTAGGACATTTGTCGCAACAGGGGAGACCGATGCAGATGACTCATTAGATCTTGAGGGTATGGACGGCCAACAGCATTTCGTAAAGCGAACACTCATGCGTGTGAATGTTACCTGAAAACAGCTAATTACTGAATAGAGGTTAGGGCAAGGAGGACCGCGGCATTTTCTTTGCCACTCGCGAATTACCCTCCAAGTGTCGAATTCTACTCAGTTACCATAGTCTGCAGGTCGTTGGGCTTACGTAAACCAGATCTTTCTCGTCATCGTTTAACCATTAAGTCCATTTTGCTCAGTGTGCACCCGCTATCGCGGCAAAGTTCTCAATATCAGTAGGATGCAGAGACAGGTGAAAGGCCTTCGGTGGTGCAGCAATAGGCATCTTCTTCATCAGGTAACCTTATCACACGTATGAGCTCCAAAAAGAATAAAAAAAAAATAAAAAGATTGTAATAAACTCAAATTCCCATTACTCAAATATAACATCCTTGCGGTCTCATTGATACAACCAACTCTGATTTAAAAACCTCTGAATTACATTGACATGAAATGCCCATTTTTCGGTCAGTTCTTTCCCCTTAAATGACCAATCAGAGTTAATATTAGAATGAGTTGATTATGATAAATTAAAAGATGAGAATGATTCTTCATCAAA